GGTTATCATAGAGGCGCTAACGGTTAGGCATAAAATGGTTATAATATTTTTATCGTATAAGTTGAACAATCATTGAAAACCAAGGTACCTGAGTAACATTTATCTAGAGACTACCACTGGAACCCAAGGCTTCAAATTACTTTAGTAAACTCGAGTCAGCAGAGATGTTAATTGTATTCTATATGTGATACAATATAATTTCTCCAATAGTTTGATACACGTTCTACATTGATCTTCAAAATTATAAATTGTTTTTTTCAATTTAACAACTATATATTAGTAGTGAAAATTATAGTGATCTAGTAAATCCAGTCTTAGAATAGAGTGATAAAGCACCGTCTCGAGGGATACTCAGAAGGTATGCAGTAGAAGCAAGATCATAACGATGGATAGTGGCTAGTAGTGGAATACAGGACGAGCGTTCTATTTGGGACTCATCAGCTAGATGTGCCTGCATCTTATAGTTGATGTTCACTCTGGGACTCGAACCCAGTACCGTTCACTTTAAACGCCATAGCACTATCCACTTAGCTACTGAGTCCTGATGGCCACCTGCTTGTGCGATGGGGCTGAAGTTATATTCACTTGATATTGTTCACTTGTATCTTCCCATTGTCATTTAGGACTGCAATTGATCAACCTCTTATTGTCATATGTGCATCCTGTGCGGACTACCTCGATATTGCCTGAAGTCACAAGCTTTATAAGCAAAAATGGATAATGGGTCACAAATTTATTTAAAAAAAAAGGAACTAAGAATATCAACATCTGATTGTCAAAATGGTAACTTTCTATTGCATCATTTATGAGTAATTCTCATATGCTTGGTAATAAAATTTCTATAATTATACGCATAAAACTATCACTTAATTTACAGTGAATTCTCAGCTCATAAACAAAATAGATGATCGATTAGTAATAATCTTTTCTATATTTTCAGAAGGGGTTTTGTGAAGATTTTAGAAATTTCACTGTTTGAAATCATGGGTGAATTGAAGCTAGACCACCATGGAAAACCTGGAAGCACTGGACGGCCGTTTCGTCCTAGTATGGGACTCCTCAGCAGTGCGCATCCACGAACCCCCACCCCCTCGAGAGATCCGAACCTAGGACCCGTCAGTCTCGCGCCAGGCGCCTAACCAACTAGACAACTGAGCCGGCCGGCATCCAACGGTGTTAATGTCTTACTTCAACTAATCCACGAAGTTGCGCCACCGTACACCATTGCCTTCAGCGAGTTGATATCTCACAACAGACCTGGTCGAACTCCACTGGTAACGACTTCTCACTAGAACTCGAGGAGTATCTCTTGAAGTCAGTCACTAATGAGCAGATGATTATTATCAAAGGGGGTTTTGTAGAGATTTTTAGAAATTTCACTGATTCAAATCATGAGTCAATTAAAGCTTTATTTCTAATCTGAAGCAAATTTACTCATTTTACTAATGCTTATCAGGATAAACTTGTAAATGGAATCATAAGTATTATCATGAAGCACTGAATGAACTAAGATTTTATCTATAATTATATGATCAGTGCTCGCGCGCGAAGCCAGTAGGTCCTGGGTTCGAGCCCCGCGTGGTGCGGGATCGTGGATGCGCACTGCTGAGGAGTCTCATACCAGGACGAAACGGCCGTCCAGTGCTTCCAGGTTTTCAATGGTGGTCTAGCTTCAACTGACTCATGATTTCAACCTGTGAAATTATATGATCCATTTTAAATAGAACTAATTATAAGTGATATAATTTTGCTTATAAAGAATATCCAAATAAAATAATACATCACTTCTAGGGAAGATCCAATCAAAAAAAAATCTTATATACATTAGATATTCGCTCTATCATCCTAGAATTCTATCTATCTGATTTCCGATTGGTTAACTTTTCAAACATTAAGATTTAGAATGAATTTCCATATGAAATAAGTTACCATTTAACAATTTATATTTCTTCTTAGGGTTAGGGTTCATATCACAACCAATTCTCTTATAATTTCCATAAAATGTTCTGTCTACTATCCTATTTACCATGTGTAAATGTAATGATACTTTATCTTAGCTAGTTTGTGATTGGTTATAATAGATAGATAGAAATATATTATCACACAGAAGGAAAATGAGATGAAAACAAAATTCACTCCTTTCACATAAAAATTAGAATGAAAATTAAATAATTAGTTCTTTTGATGAATTTATTCACTGGAATAAATGATAAGAAGTTTACATAATGAAAAACTATATTGTTGTATACAAATCTTGGTAAGTTATGATATTTATTACATTTATTTATTTATTTGAACATATATATATTGGTACAAAAGGGCACCGAATATATATGCGCCATACAAGTCACTTGATCTGTGTGTGGGCTGTGATAGTTGCCGGATGCTCAGACCGAAACGGGTGGTTTTCTTAGGGGACCATGCCCGGAGCCTTTGACCTAAAGGTATGATTCACAAGGCAGTGGCATAATGTAAAGAGATGCAGTTCCATGGTAGCCGGTTACAAATAATTGGTTCATATGCCATTTGTTTCCTCAGGATTCTGGATCCTGTGTACACCATTGGTTTGGAATCAGGGTTTTCCAACTCCCCAAGGCGGACTCTCTACATCCACCAATCCGGTTAAAGCGCCAAATATTTGTTTTTCGTCCTCTCAATTTCGTAAACAACACTCCCGCAACGAGAAGGCAGTGAGTAGAACTTCCCTGGTAATGGCTGTATACGCGTGGTTATGTGAGAGCATTTGGAGAAGGAGAGAGGACTCTCTCCACTCTCGGCCTTACTAGGGCATTCGGGGGCTCATTTATTACAAATACATTTTAATTATCAATTTCAATAAACAGATTAATCGATATGACTTTAGATAATTTCTTTTTAGCTCCCTAATTATATTTAGTAAATTCTGAGTTGAATTAAATCCTATCAAATATAGGTATTGTGAAGTTTGGCTTAATTGTTCAATGATACTTACATCATAGATTGAACTTAATGAATGTATTATTGAGAAAGATTGTAGAAAATGACAATTCACTATATAGTTAATATGTCACTATTAACCGTTTACCGCACTTATCAACAGCATAAAAGTTTATCTAAATAAGTCGATGAATGAAGAATCATATTGATGTGACAGTCTGCTCAATGATTAAAGTGAGAGTGGATATGCATACTACTGTAAATTACTCTGATCATTTCAAGTAAGATTTCGAAATATATCATTGAGAATTTCATGTGAAATATCAATCAAATTACATAAGTACTGTTGAGATAATTATATGTGATAAGTTTATGGTTTTTCAATTCCCTATAATGTATTATACTAGTACAATTGTGAAAAATAGACTCGGAGACAAATAAAACTGGACACTAATATGAATAGTACTACTTAAAAAATCGATAAAGTTAATTAAAATGTCTTCCTTGGTAAATTTTTTCAGTCAAACTGTATTTTCAAAGAATGTAAACAGTAAAACGCCAGGTTATATAAGTTTATTATTATGTAAACATCCAACAGTTATTTAAATTGTCTGTAGAGAGGTAGTTGTCTAAGGTCATCTGAAACATTTTCAATGTTTAGTAATTGTGTTGTATTCAATACTTTTAATCATTATCTGTTCATTTAATGAGCGAGTATGCGTACTGAAGTATCCAGAGTTACTTACAATTGTCTACTATGAATTTCTTAGAGTGATACAACCCAATGTGGTAGATGAAAAATATAAAGACAGTGTAAGTTAATGTTAAGAAATAAAATCACTAACGAATATTACACTATAATACGTAACATTTAGCCATTAAATTAACAACAACAAAAATCACTAAGAGTACTTAATACAATACATTTATTCAACGGAAACGGAACAAATAACCTCATCGTTGGTAGTCGAATGATTACAACACTTAGTCTTTAACCTTAAGGTTACAGGTTTGAATTTTACACCTCAACTAATTTCATCTAAACAGTCAGATAGTACCAGTATAGGTAAGTGGATTACATTTTAATAAATTCACTTTTCTTATTATTCTGTATAGTATCAACTAACTTTCCTCCTCTCATCTAATCAAAACAAATTAGACAGAAGACGAATTCTCTAACTTTGTACATTATTCAATTCAATTATTTTTGTTACTATAAAAGTTCAAATTATTCAAACTAAACAAATAACAATAATGAGAAGGGTTTTGTGGAGATTGTAGTAATTTCAATAGTTGAGATCATGAGTGAATTGAAGCTAGACCACCATGGAAAACCTGGACTGATAGGTCCTGGGTTCGAATCTCGCGAGGGGCAGGATCGTGGATGCGCACTACTGAGGGGTCCCGTACTAAGACGAAACGGCCGTTTAGTGCTTCCAGGTTTTCCATGGTGGTCTAGCTTCGATTGACTCATGGTTTCAACTATTGAAATAACAATAAATAAACAAAGAAAATAGTTTTGTCTAAATATTTCAGTCTGTAAAAAAACAAAAGAAAAAACTCTTTGATGAGTTTTATTATTATTATCATTACTACTATTATTATTATTATTACTCAACAATCCCCATAATCATATACTGATAATTATCACATGCTCACTAGTGACCAGCTTCAAGATGAATTTCCTGGAGTTCTAGTGATAAGCAGTGAGCAGCGGAGATCAACCAGGTTTGTTGTGAGATAGTAACTCACTGGAGACAATGGTGGACGCTCATGCAATATCATGGACTGGTTGAAGTTAGACGTTATTATCGTTGGATGCGGGCTTAGTGGTCAAGAGGCTAAGCGTTGAAGCATGCGATATCGTGGATGCGCACTGCTGAAGAGTTCCATAATAAAACGAGATGATCGCCCAATGCTTCCAGGTTTTCAATGGTGGTCTAACATTGATTCATTCATGATCTCATTCCAATTTAATAGGTTTTTAAAAAAATCAACAAGAAAAATCTATTTCATATTTCATTTCATTTCCTTATTTGTTTTTAGTTCATCAAGTGAATAATTAAAGCTTCATTAGAACGTCAATGGAATATACAGTCTTAGACTCTTCAATTTCTTCTCAACGTTATTCATCTAATAAACAGTTTATAAATGATAATCAAAGTAATTTGATGAATAATTTCATATCTGATATATATTCATCTTCACTATTTGAACAATTTCCATTTTCCATGAAAAACTTTCCATCAACAGGATCACCTTTACCCTCCATCTCCCCTAATCCTTTATCATCATTCCCATTATCATCAATAACAGTTAGAAAATTATCAAATATGGAAATAATTCAAGAAAATGACATACATAATGTTAACCTTCAATTAAACCCTAGTAAATATAAATTACCATTATTATCTACTCATCAACTAACAGATAATCATATACAGTCAATATCAACAACCGAGACAAATATTCCATCGACTTCTAGCGCATTAATAAATTCTTTAAATAAAACACAATCAAATGAGTCTAATAGATCAATAATAAAAAGAACAAAAACTCATCAAAATATACATCAGAAATCAACTAAAGATTGTAATGGATGTAATCAACCAATCTTTGAAAAAACTTACCTTGGATTATCTGATGGACAATCATGGCATATGAATTGTTTAAATTGTAATACATGTGGAAAGTGTTTAGATAAAGAGACTAGTTGTTTCAATAGATATGGACAAATTTATTGTCGTAAAGATTATGAACAGTAAGTTATTCATGATCAAATTTTATTTATTTGCTTATTTGTAGACCAATTCATTGTAGAGTGATAATTTGATAAGGGGTAACCCAAGTTTTTGTACTTTAAGCAAACCATATAAATGCGATATCAACAAATTCAAAATAAACATTTGTATTTGATTGAGATCATAAATGGATCAATGTTAGACCACCACTGACAATGTGGGGGCGTGGGACATCTGTTTTGTCATAATACGGGACTCCTAAGCAGTGTACATCCATGATCCTGTACTCGGGATTCGAATCCAGGAACTTCGGTCTCACGCTTAAACGCTTAACATTTGTAATTAAGATATGTAGGGTTTATACAATTTTATCACAAGAACTATATATATTTAGAACCAATTTGAAGTTTATTATTTGAAATTAATCATAAGTAGTCAATGGAAGATATCTACTAATATCTCAAGTTCCTAATATTTGACTCATTGGAGCCAACACTATGAATTCTATAGTCTTAACCACTATTCTAGTAAGTTAAATATAAAAAAACTTCACCTTCTAATGTATGATGTTTCCATATTTGAAGATATAAATTACAATTCTAATCGAAACATTCTCATCATCTTGGATACAGTTAAACCTGATTAATAAATTTCAAACAAGAAGACTATGGAAACTTTGGATTTTTAATGAAAGTAATGAATTCCATTGATCTTTAGATCTAATTTTAAATCGAAATTTCTAAGACCATATAGAGTAATATCTGATAAATAATGAATCGAATGAACTTTTAATAAATAATTATAATGATTGCAAATGAATGAATTGATATCCAACATAATGATTTCATAATTTCACTGATTGAAATCATGAGTCAATTAAAGCTAGACCACCATGGAAAACCTAGAAGCACTGGAAGGTCGTTTCGTCCTAGTATGGGACTCCTCAATAGTGCGCATCCACGAACCCGCACCCCACGAGATCCGAATCCATGACCTATCGGTCTCGTGCAAAGCACTTAACCAACTAGACAACTGAGCCGGCCGGCATCCAACGGTGTTAATGTCTTACTTCAACTAATCCACGAAGTTGCGCCACCGAACACTATTGCCTTCAGTGAGTTGATATCTCACAACAGACCTGGTTGAACTCCACTGGTAACGACTTCTCACTAGAACTCGAGGAGTATCTCTTGAAGTTAGTCACTAGTGAGCAGACGATTATTATCAGGGGGGGTTTTGTGGAAATTTTGGTAGTCCAGCTTCAAATGACTCATGAGTTCAACCAGTAAAATTACTAAAATCTCCACAAAACCCCTTCTGATGATTTTATAATTATTGATAGTTAATAACGTTAAACTATTCTATAGAAGAAATAAACTTTAAACTGATATACCAAACTTTCATAACATTTACAGTTTTTATTAAATAAATACATAATGTGCTTTTTAAGAACGAGACTACAAAAAACATACAGCGAAAAACATACTTATAATTAGTGTAATACTGTTACATATTGACTTTGATAAGAATCAGCGTTTAAATTATTTCTAGTAATAAGGATTTTGTCATATTCGTTGTTATTGTTATTGCTGTTCCAATTAGTTTATTTATTTTACTTTTGATCTTTAACTCTTCTCAAATACTTTGTTAATTCGTACAGAAAAGAGACGATACTACTCAAACTGACAGTTGATTTAATGAGTGTATGACATATTGTTTACAGATAAATAAGTTGCTATAATTAACATTTTAACATAATGATAATACGTGCTAGAAGGGGTTTTGTGGAGATTGTAGTAAGTCTAATAGTTGAGATCATGAGTCAATTGAAGCTAGACCACCATGGAAAGCCAGAAAGCACTGGACTGCCGTCTACAAAAGATATGCTCACTAGTGAATGACTTCAAAAGGTATTTCATGGAGTTCTAGTGAGAAGCAGTGACCAATGGAGTTCAACTGGGTCAGTTGTGAAATAGTAACTCACTGATGACAATGGTGGATGTCACTCAGTTTCGTGGATTAATTGAAGTTAGACATTAACACCATTGGATGCCGACCGGCTCAGTAGTCTAGTGATTAAGTGCTCGTGCGCGAGACTGATAGGTCCTGGGTTCGAATCTCGCGGAGGGGTGCGGGACCGTGTATGCCAATCGCCGAGGGGTCCCACAATAGGACAAAACGGCCATCCAGTGCTTCCAGGTTTTCCATGATGGTTTAGCTTCAATTGACTCATAATCTCAACTATTGAGATAATACGTGCATTAATCATTACACGTTTCAGTCATGCTTTGTAACAATATCACTCTATCAAGTAACAGGTAATTCACACCACTCAGTCTCTTATATAATGAACAAGACTGTTACTCTCCAATTGCTCAAAATGAATCGTTATTTTTATTAAACAAACGGACATTCATTATCAAATGTAATTATTATAATCAGATTTCTTTATTTAGTTAATTAAGTCACAAGTTTCAATAAAGAACTATGAGTTGCATCGTTACGCAACATTAGTCATCAGATGCTTTTATGTCACTAACTTATACTAGTATATATAATAGTAGAAAAGACGAAACACTTGAGAGTCATTCAAAAAATATATATGAAACCGCCAAATTTTCTTTCAATGTTAACAAATATTTACGAAGATTGCCTTTTCTATTAAGAGATATAAACTAACAAATGTTGGATATGGCTACTAGCTCACACAACTTATTTATTAGCCACGTGTCATTGAAATCAGATAGTTTTAGGTCGAATTGCAATATTGATGACCTTTGGTGTAAGTGACGAAATATTTTAGTCTACAGTTGAGTTGATATTCATTAAAAATGTACCATGTTGTTTTAAACGTTTACTTTGAAGAGATATATGTATACAATAATGATACACGTGAACATATATTACATATTCCTCCATTTCATTTATTCCCTGTTTTCATATATTATATATACATAAACATAGTTTAAGTTGGATTATGATCTCTAGAGCGAACTATTTTGAAAAAAAATATACCCAATGGCTAAATTTAATACATGATAAATAAACTGATTATGTAGATAGAAACACTAATTAAGTCAAACTTCATGCATCAACAAAAGCAATAATGATAAAGTGACTATAAACGTTTAAACCAGGATCAAAAATTCTTAAATCAGGGAAACAACAAATAAAATCCCGTTAGTAATAACTCTTTACTTTTCTCTTTCTCCCTTTCTCTCTCTCTCAGTTTATGTGTACGTTTATATTGATGTATGCTTACCAAGTAGCCCCAGCTAACAAGAATATGTATGTATCAGTGTGAAATAACAAAATACAAAAATAGAAAATGTAAATATACATGCAATAAATGATGTCAATTAAGAAGTAGCGAAAAAAGAAATTAAGTGAAATTTTATGCTCTCGAATGTATTAATATTATCAAAAAAAGATGGATGGTAACTAGTAGTGGAGTTCAGGACGTTGGTTTCGTCCTACTTTACCATTCGTCAGCTGGATGTACCTGAATCTCACAGTTGATATTGAATTCGGGACGAGTCTCAAATAGGACGAAACATGCGTATTGGATCCCACGGTTAGCCACCATCCATCTCTGCTTCTAATACTTGTAACTTAAAGCAATATCAAGACAATCCACACAGGATGTATATGTACCAATAAGAAACTGAGCAATTGCAGTTCTAAACACTAATGGGAAGATTCAAACAAACACTACAAAAATAAATTAGTACTATATTATCATTATGAAAACGTTTTAATTTTTTGTTTCACTTACATTTGATTTTTATTAGAAAAGTAAGGAAGAATAAGATTCTTTTTATTCTAAATATCGTATGATGTTGTCGATATTATTCTCAAACCAATAAGAACTTTTGTCTAAATTTGACTGGATAGTTTCACAGTATTTGGGCACCGAGTTGATATGACACATTAAAAAGGAAGAATGTATTTGTATTCAAATTCATTCGCTGAAATTTTAAAGACACATTCTTTCTCTTTAATTATTCTCAAACTGTTTATTATTTTGCTGTTTATTTTTTAAAAACATGAATATCATACAGGCATAGAGAAAAATGAATTAAGAATGGTATATAAATAAAAAATAATATAACAATTACATTTATCAGAAGGGGTTTTGTGGAGATTGCAGTAATTTGAGTTGAAGCTAAACCACCATTGAAAACCTGGAAGCACTAGACGGCCATTTCTTCCTATTGTGGGATTCCTCGGTAGTGGGAATCCGCGATCCCGACACGCAGGACTCGGACCCAGGACCAATCAGTCTCGCGCGCGAGCGCTTAACCACTAGACCACTGAGTCGGCGTTTATAAAATTTATTTATGGACTAATTTATTAATTGATCATTAAACGATAACTGACATTATATTATAGATCATATTATTGAGTAGAGTATGACCACTTCAAGAAATATAATATTATGTATGAGCTTAAATGTTTACATGTACAGTCGATCAGAAGACTTCAAAGTATATTTCACGACTGTTTAAGTTAATACAAGTGACTAATCTAACAATAATTACATTTTGATCATACATTGTTCAATTCTGCATTTAGAAATGCCATCGAAGGCATATTTTTTTAAAAATTCATAATTCAACTAGATGTAAGTAAGTAATCAATGTCATTATGATAAATCTTCGATTTCATTGGATGGATTTCTTTTGTAACCGTAGATATTTCTTATTAATAACTAAGGGAATTGAGAAAGCATAATAAAAAAATTATTAGAAATATAAATTCACTTGGTATTGTTTGGCTTGTATCTTCCGATTGAGGTTTAAGATGCAGGTACATCCATCTGACGAGCCCCAAATAAGACGAAACGCACGTCAAACTGGATTCCACTGCTAGCCATCATTACTTACGAAAAAATTATTAGAAATATGGTTGAAAAGAATAAACTCATATCCTTACAATTACATATATATAATATTGCAAATCCTTATCAGATGAAAGAAGTCATTGTTAATTAACCACTAAAACCATTTATGAAAAAAAC